CCCACTCCCTCCCTCACCACAGGGGGGCATTGATCTGCCCCCCACACCCCTTCCCTTCCCCCTCCCCACCCACTACAATGAATTTACCAGCTGCATGCAGCTCTCCAAGCTGCCAGGTTGTGCTCCTCACTGCCTATGTGCTGTGCATGCACGGGCATTTATCAGCCAAGTTATCAGCCACATCAGGCCAATCTCCAATACAATCAAGTTTCTATTGGTACCGATCCAATATCGGACTGATGTATGAGTGCACCTCTAATGGTAAAACTTCCTCTAATGAATCAATCAGTTAGAAATGTAAAACATATTTTGATAAACTTTTTTTTCAATGTTTCAAGCACATTTTTAGACGGGTAAGGGGACTAGTTAAGAATCTTAACATGCCATTTTTGTGCATTTAATTGAATTCCAGTTCCCTCACCATGCAGCCTAAAACAAAACTGCAAGTAAAAGATTAGTCATTCAGTAAATAAAAATTAGAGTATTCACCATTTGCTAACATGAAAAAAAAATTTTTAACTGAATCTGAATATATGTATTTAAGCTATAATTAAACAAATGTGTATGCTCCTAACAAAAGTAGTACAAATTTTCATAGGCCATATTTAGAAGCAAATCAACAAATTTGAATGGTTTTCGAGGAGAAATAAGTGCTGTAGAGAAAAGACTAAACAAGATTAAAATCTATTTAAATCATGATAAAAAAATCATTTTTAAATCCATCTACCATAGCCATAGAACCTGAACACCTCCAGTCCCAGTCCTAGAGTTGCTTCTCTTTTCAGCTCAAGGGAAGGGACACTTTGCACAGCGCCAAGTCAAAAGCTGGACGTGCTGCCTATCTATCCATGTTATACCTGCCCTATGAAGAGAGGATTTCAAGTGCTAAACACCTTTCACTAATACTAAATTCAAAGGAAGCATTTTAAAGACCAAAGGAAAAGAACATGGAAATTTCATCAAGATTTCTAAGGAAGCCATTTGCACTGTCCAAGAAAAACTGGATCCGATCAGAAAGTGTTTTCAGGGTTTTTTCCAGAAGGATTCAGAACTCTTTAAAAAGAGCTAATTTATTACCATACACAAAATAAAGACAGCTGAAGACTTTAACAGAAGTGGAGATGAGCCTAATCCAAAATCTTAGCTCTGGATGCCCTCCAAACTTTGAAGGAATGCACATCTGGATGGGAGCTTTGAGCCTTTGGTCTCATTTCTAAAAATGCCATGTTCGTTGATCATTAACAGGATGTTTATATTGCACCTAAAACACAAGCAAGTCTGTTCATAAAGTTTGGGGGTTTTTTTTCCCTGACTGAAAGTTTAACAGATTACTTAAATTATATGTACATTTGCTTTGAAATCCAGAACCCAACAACTGCAAAACTCTTAGCACTGACCCGGGAGAGCTCTCAGTCAGTTAATCTAAAGTCAGGGATGAAAAAAAGTCTTCCACAACTTCCTGAGTTCTTCACCTACAGAGGACCCAGGTTGGCTTAATAGTGAGTACTCTATCTGGGGGCATCTAGGACTGTCAGTAGCAGTTTAACCAAAAGCCTAACGGCATATCTTATTCGCATGAAAATGTAAATTACAGTCATTCTGTGTAACCCAGAGAATGGGTTCTGTGGATGTGATACACCTTGACTTTAGGAAAGGTTTGATGTATCCTAAGACATTCTCACTGGTAAACTAAGGAGATGCATCCTAGAATAGGGGGGTCTCATACTCAACCCACCTCTTGGATCAGGATACAGACCCTAGGACTCCTCGTGGGAGGGACACAGACCTGGTGGCAGCATGGCAAACAGCAGCACAAGGGTGAGTGGTGGTAGCCATTGCTTGCTCCCCTGTCCCCAAAGGCCATCAACAATGGGGCCCTGTTTCCCTGAATTCTGCAGCAGGCCCCACCCCCAAATTCCCACACCCATCAGGAGTGATGCAGATTGAAGGAAATGTCTCCAGAGGTTGTATGTCTGAAACCCCTGCTCTAGAAAATACTCTAAGGTGGATACATAATTGGCTGGATCATTGTACTCAAGGAGGAGTCATCGATGACATGATGTCTACTTGACAGGAAATATTCAGCAGGGTTCTCCTGTAGCAGAAAGCCCCCTTTTCCTCTTGCCTGCATTTGCTCTCCCCTCTTTGGATATGTTTCTCTTCTTCTACCTTTTCTTCCTTCCTCTTTCTTTCACTATAAGTTAAGGAATTGTGTTTTAAAGTTTGTATGTGTGTATTTTGCATCTCCCCTTGTAGTTTGGTATTTTTATCTATTTGTGTACCATGGCATTACTCTTGTAGCTTATATTTTCTACTCCTCACCTTTTAACTAAAAGTGTTTAGTTTCAGAAGTAAGTTATACACTGTAACAATGTTAACAAGGGCAGAAATTAAACTGCCGCATTCCCTGCATCAGGAGGGCCCCTGAAAGAGTGAGTGAATCAGTGACTGAATGCGTAACACAGTAGCAGGCAGCAATTAACACCTAGGAAAACCACAGATCAACCAAGGGAAGAAATCAACAGGAGACAATGTAGCAACCGGGAATTCTCTAAACTTCACTGTTCAAGGGCTAAAAGCCCTGGTCTGAGTTAATCAATGCCGGGGACCAACTTTTGGGCTGAATATCTCCAGATCAACCGCTCCCAGAGCCCTACTCAAAATTCATCAATGGACTCCCAAACCTGCACATACATGCGGACGACCCCTGGGGCTGACAGATGCCATCCAGTAGCCACCGAGGGGGAAGTCCCACGAGGGTCAACGACCCCTGGATTGGGCAAACCTGAAAACTGGGGAGTCACCAAAGTCTGCCAAGGACAGATAAAAAGCAGTGAAAAGTGACCCTCAGCGGCGCCCTCTTGATCTCCAACTTGACCAGCACCTGACATGTCCAGCCAGAAGGACCAGTCAGCAACCCCCTTCTGGAGGATAACACCACGCTGGAAGAAGCCTCGACTGGCCATCAATGGCAGACTCCAGCGCCTGTAGGATAGGTATACCTGACTCTTGTAGCTCGCTACTGTGTCCCCCCCCCCCCCCCCCCCCCCCAGGGTCTGTCTAGGATCCAGGGTAGTTGAATATTTTCATTAATGACTTGGAGGATGGGACTGAGTGTACGTTCAACAAATTTGCAGATGACACCAAAGGGGACTGGAATCACAGACACTTTGGAGAACAGGATTAGGATTCAGAATGATCTTGATAAATTAAAAAATGGTAAAAATTAAGCAACTGGACTTTAATAAAGGACATATGCAAAATTCTGCACTTCCTATGGAAAAACTACATGCACAAATACAGACTGGGGAATGACTGGCTCGGTTACAGTACTGTGGAAAATAACTTGGGGGTTACACTGGACCATAAACTGACTATGAGCCAACAGCATGCTGCTGTTGCAAAGAAAGCCTACAACATGGGGTGTATTAACAGGAGAGTTCCTTGCAAGTCAAAGGAAATGATTCTTCTGCTCTATTCAGCATTGGTGAGCCCTCATCTGGACTCTTCCACCTAGTTTTGGGCACTTCACTTCAAGAAAGACATGAAGAAATTACAGTCCAGCAAAGAGTAACAAAAGAGGTTCCCAGAGATCTGGGAAAGACAACTTATGAGAAAAAGTTGGAGGAACTCTGATTACTTAGTCTAGAGAAGAAAAGATGGGACATGTATTTGATAACCGTCATCAAATACCTAAAGGGTGGTTATGAAAAGGATGTTGATACTCCCCATATTCTCTATGGCTGCAGATGATAATATTCAACTTCTACTAGACTTGAAAGTGTTTCAAGTGATTTTTTTTTAAACTTAACTAACTAGATTTTCAGATGTTTCTTCTTAATAGAAATGTTTGGACCGGTAGAGTCAATGTACTAAGAATGGAGTCCTTTCAAAGATCATCAGATGAAAAAAGTAGAAGGAATTGAGATTCATTCCCACCTGCCTATTAAAATAAATTATAAGGCTGTCAATTAATCGTGGTTAATGCACGCAATTAATGCGTTAATTGTTCACATTCAATTTTTTAACACATTAATAGCACATCTGGTTTTGGAGTCTGCACCCAGGCTCCAGTCCATCACCAACACCGCCACCTCTGGGGCAGTGGTGGCAGCACAGAGGACCACAAGGCAGTCCGGGTACAGGCTCCAGGCAGCTGCAGCAGGGGGGAGGGGCATGCACAGACAGACATGCAGCTGCAGCCTGAAGGCGGCCAGGAACACAGCCTGGCAGCATGTGGAGCAGTGCCCAGCAGGTAAGTGTTGAGGGAGAAGGGATGTGGGGAAGGGAAGGGGCAGTGGGGTGCAGATTGAGGCCCCCACAGTGAGGGAGGGAGTGGGGCAGGGGCTGGGATGAATGGGGCCCTGGGGCCGGTGCAGGTCATGGGACGGAGCCATGGCTCATCCAGGGGAACAGGGGGGCTCCTGCCACTGCACGTACGCCTTATGCCTCCCCCAGATCAGGCGTTGCCAACTAGCTAGGAATAAACAGAGCCACAGCAAAGAGCTGAGCAGGGCCATGAAAGTACTCTTGCTGCTGCTGCTGCAGCTTTTACTTCAAAGAATGCCACTTCTTCAGCCAGGTGTATGGGACCACTGATCAACTCTGAGTGGAAACTTAGGCCTTGAAGTAAAAGCCACAGTAGACAAGTGAGAGGCTTGTCCTTAATTGGGGAAGTTAGTGAGAATTAAGCTGGTTGTGAAGCACCGCATAGGCATGGTGAGTGTTCCACTGTATCACACCTTGTGTTTGCCTGACAAACAGAACAACTTCAGGTTTCTCCCCCACCTACCCCACATTGAAGACCTGCATAACAGAGGAAACAGTAACTAATGTACAATGTTATCAAATGAACAAAGCAAATACAACAGAACAAAAGGAGAACCATTGTTTTCCAGCCTCTGTCAGAATATGCTTCTCAACTGTTACTAGAATAGGAAACATGAGTTTCAGATGCATGTAATTTAAGTTATCAGCACCCCTTTTTACCCAGGACTTACACTGCCATGCCACTGATGAATTCCTCTGTAGCCTGGCAATAGATTGTGATGGCAACACGGGCATCAGCATCAAATGTGAATTCTAAGCTGTATAAGACTTTCTGCTTCCCATTCTCTTCCACAGGACTGTCCACATCATCTTTGTACCTATAAGCAAACCACAGAGAGAGAGAGTTAGGCCAGATATATATGGAAGACACTAAGTAAGACATCTGGTTCATTTCCTAAGGCCGTGCCAAGAATGTTCTCTACAGTAGACTCAAGTGCTTTGTCCACATGACTTAACAATGGGGTTTCTACCGTGTCTGAAGAAACTGTACTCCCAGTAGATTTTGCTAACAGGAAGATTTTTCTAATATTGAAAACTTTTCTTTTTACCCGTCTAACATCAAGGAATCCCACTGAGTCTATCCAAGGCATTCTGTTTCTGGAGTAAACCCAAAAATGAGCCTCACTAAGGGCTACACATGCAGATAAAGGTACTAAGTGATCCAATACATGATCCACATAATCGTGCCCCCTGCCATGCCTCATGTGCATGGCAGAAGGCGTGACTGTGGGATCATGCATTAGATCGCATTGCACCTTATTGCCAGTGCAAGAGAAGCCTGATCCAGTGCTCCACCTGCACTACCAAGCAACCTCTTGTGGCTGGGAGTGGGGTTTAAACCTGCGACACAAACAGACAGTTGCAAATTTTCCTTCTAAGACTTGGTTACTAGTGGCACTCAGAATAAAATGACAACAATGCTCCAGGCTGGAATCATGACCAGGTACAGCAAGATCACAAGTGCAAATTTAGGAATTTCAAATTGGATTGACAGACTAGGGGTCTAAAGAAAACAATCTTCTAGACTGGCAGTGCAAATATCCCCTTCATAACTGCTCCGTGCATCTCCCTGATAATGACTCTCTGGGTCATCTCCCATCAATACTTTCTTTTGTTTCAGCCTGACAATGGTGGTAGAGCAGGGGTTTTCAACCTTTTTTAGTTGGTGTACCCCCAGAAGCTAGTCAAAAAGCAGGGAGTCCCCCAGCTGGTCAATGAGCGGGAAGGCAGGAGGGGAGGTCCCCTGCATGCATAAACGAAACCAGACGGCAAAACCAGAAGTGCCGCCAGTGAAACTGGAAGTGGCCCCGTTTCTCCACACCACTGCCACACACAGCCTGGGGCCTTCCCAAGTACCCCCAGGGGTATGCGTACCCTTGGTTGACAACCCCTGTAGTAGAGAATTGGTACCAACTTTGAGGTGGGACTGTGGATGGGAAATATACTCTCCACTAGGGAATATACAGGAGACATACAGTTCATGTCTCATTAACTGAGCCTAGGCCACTGGTACTGCTGGCTGGCTGCTTAAGATCGGTAACCAAAGGTGACAAGCCCTACATACAATGAACCACCACCAAAGATCAGGTGGAATGTGCATACAAGACAGACAATGGGAAACATGGGCAGGACTGGTCCTGGGAACAAATGCAGCATTATTAGCAATATAAAAAAGTTGAATGCTGTGTCATTCCAAGGACACTACCAGTATCCACAGAAACCAATCGTAGCTTTTCTCTCCCTTCAATGTTAAACCCTCTAGTGGGCTTTTCAAAAGCACTTTACACAGGCCTCTCTCTCCTGTCATTGAAGTTAAGACAAAAGCTCACTGACCCCCTGGGAGCACAAACATATGCTCTAAATCCTGCTGTATCTGGTCATGATAGTTAGTAGGTAAAGAGTTTATTTCACTTTACAAACATCCATTTCAACAGCATCCTGCTTCCTTCTCAGGATGCAGACATGCTAACTAATGCCCTAATTTTCTGAGATTAAGGAATTTGCTGAAGTCAGAATGAGGTTGACAGCAGAACTTGGATTAAAATCCAGGAGTCCACAGCTTCCAACTCTGTGCTCACACCAGTGAGTGCCTCTCTGTACCCTAGTAAAGTGTGGAAAATGTACTGCATGTTCATCTGTATATCAATGCTGCTAATTACAGATCTTGCTCACGTTTACCAAAGAAAACACCTGAACTTTAGTCAGACAGGTGAGACTGGTGGTATGTTCTCACTTTCAGCTTCAATAAAATCTCTGCTATTAAGGACAACATTTGTCTTGTATTAAGCCAACTGTAGGAGACTGAATCTGATGGGAAATGGTGCATCTTTTTAGCATTTGCCCCTTGAACGAGTCAAGTAATTATGAGCAGATTATACCTCCCACTGGTCTGGTGCTGATTATAATTATTCACTGGTAGTTCCCAATAACATTTTTATGTCCCATAAGGAACAACAGGAGATAAATGAGAGGGTTTTCTTGCTTCCTAGGTGGCTGAAACCTACTTAGAAGAGTGGCAGCCCCTGGACCTGGTATGCAGTTGCCTTTACTAACTGCAGCCCACCTCTTCACCCTCTCATAGCTTCTTCCACTGCAGAGAGCTGATCATGAACAAGCTACTCTGTTCTTAGCCTGGCTGACACAGCTTAGCTGCTGCTATGCCAAGCAGCCATTGACTTTGCTGGGTCCCCAACTCACCCTTGAAGCTCCTTGCACTGCTCCAGATCCACCTCTGGATCTAGCTGCCAGCACTTGACTCTGCCTCATCATTTCTGGGAGAAATCCAGGAATAAAGGGGTTAAATCCTGGGTGGCCAAGGTTGATTTACAGCATCTCTCTCCATGTCATCCACCCAGATGATTATAAGCAGGTGGTGTGCTTTACAACCAGTTCCTAAAGAGGAATTCTCTGGAAGCTGTTCCTGTTGGCAGTGCAACGGAGCTAAGTTCTATCCAACTGAAGGACTGTCACTGTGGCAAGGGACAGAGCATTTATGCCTCAAGTCCAACAACCCCGAGTAATGCTGTGTATGTATTTAACTAGCATAAGGTACCTGGGGCTAGACGTCAAAAGAAAGCCTGCCAGTAAAGGGAGGTGCACGGAGGAGAAGAGGATGCTATGCATGAGGTCAGTGTGTTGCAGGAACAAGAAGCCACCAAGGGTTTTTTCAGGATGTAATGTGCATGGGTGCAGAGAGAATTTTTTGCAGCACATCCCATCGCACAGAGAGGATAGGCTATGACTTCAGGGAATGGCAGGAGAATATCAACTAGCTTTAGTTGATATTAAAAGTTTGATTAAAAAAAGCACTATATAATATCAGTAGAATACAAGTTAAATGAATAAAAAAACTTGCCAAATGATTGATCTCAAAAAGCACTTGCAAAGGAGAGAAATCATTTACATTTCTACAAAGACCAGTATGGTTTTTTATACTACTTCTATACCTTAGAAGATTTGGAACATATAAAAAATACCACTGATGCAGATGGCACAAAGACTGGCACAATAACAAAGAATGGAAGACAGAGCAGTCACCCAAAGCTATCTGAATTTCTTGGTAAGCTAGGCAAGTTCTAACCTTGCTTAGTACAGATTTTAGTATTACTACCACTAAAAAGCAAAGTTATATATCTAAAAATAAGGAATGTAGGTCATACCTATAGAATGCAGGAAAAACATTCAGGAAAGCAGTGACACGAAAAAGAATTTAGGGCTCATGGTGGACCAACAATTCAACATAAGCTTTCAGTGCAGTGCTAGGGTATAAAGAGCTTTTGTAACCCTTGGCTGTATTAACCTGGGATCAAGGGGTTGATTTTATTTTCATACATGGAACTAGTGAGGTACAGATTGGGGGCATGTGCCCCCCCACAAACATGGGGTAGTGTGGGCAGCTGCAGCACTGGTCAGGGAGGGAGTTGTGGCTGGAGCAGGGGCAGGCCTTGCACAGCCAGGGTGGGGCTGGGACACAGCCGCAAGCAGCTCATCCGGGGGGGCACTCACCACAGAAGAGCATGGGGGGCACGTTCCCAGCAGAGGATGCAGCTGCGCTCCACTCAGGCCAGGAGGTGCTACAACACCACCGCTGGGCCCAACCTCAGTGCAGCCGCAGCCTTCACCGGGATCAGGCCAGTGCCACCTCCCAGCCCCAGCCCTCCCCACCAGGGCATAGGGGCCATATGCCCCAGATCTGTGCAGGGGAGGGCAGGCTGATCTTGACGGAGGCTGCAGCCCCAGTGGGATCAGGCCTGGCAACGGCGTCACTGGGAGGGGGCTATAGACAATTTTCGGGTGGCTGGAGTCCCCCATAGCCCAGCTCCCAGTGCCACCAC